TGCTCCACTTCCAATCCAGGTCCCTGCTAGAGCACCTGGGAAAGCAGCAGCAGATGACCCAAGTCCTTGGGCCTCAGCACTCATGTGGGAGACCCAGAAGAAGCTCTTGGCTCCTGGCTTTGGCCTGGCCCAGCGCTGCCCATTGTGGCCATTTGGGAGTGAACCAGCGGATGTAAGATCTCTTTCTGCCTCTCTGTCTCTTCCTTTCTGTAACTCTGACTTTCAAATAACTAAATAAATCTTTAAACACACACACACACAGAGTCAACTGTCTTAGTCTGGGTTCAACAGAAAGCAGAGCATAAGAGCTTATGTGTGCAAACTCTATCCAGTCCTATAATCCAGGAAGCAAGAGCAAGGGACAGGGAAGGAGGAAGAGCCTATACAAAGAGGCTTCACAGAGTTGGTGACTCTGGCAGGCAAGCGGTTGCTCAATTCTTCCAGCACAGCCTTAAGAAATCTCGCTGGGGGCCGGTGCCGCGGCTCACTAGGTTAATCCTCCGCCTTGCGGAGCCTGCACACAGGGTTCTAGTCCCAGTCGGGGCGCCGGATTCTGTCCCAGTTGCCCCTCTTCCAGGCCAGCTCTCTGCTGTGGCCAGGGAGTGCAGTGGAGGATGGCCCAAGTGCTTGGGCCGTGCACCCCATGGGAGACCAGGAGAAGTACCTGGCTCCTGCCTTTGGATCAGCGTGGTGCGCCGGCCGCAGCGGCCATTGGAGGGTGAACCAACGGCAAAGGAAGACCTTTCTCTCTGTCTCTCTTTCTCACTGTCCACTCTGCCTGTCAAAAAAGGAAAAAAGAAATCTCGCTGGGAAACAAGTCCTGGAGTGGGAGAAGAGCAGCCTTGGGTGGGGCCCTATGAGGTTGTACCTGCAAGAAGCCAGCTGGCACCCGCAAAGCACTGATGGCTAGAAAATGATCCCAGGTGGCAAAATACGAAGTAATGACAAGTATTAGCCCATAGTATCCCACCCAGGATATCCTTGCTCTATAAACTTACATGCTAAGGATACAGAGCAAAACATGAAATTCTGCTCCCTACCCTTCCCTGTGTACACTTGTTACTAACAATACACTTTGCACGCATTTACCTATCATATGAGAACAGAAATCTAAATATTCTTCCTTTTAAAAGACATGAATCAGATCATAACAATATCCTTGTTCTGTAACATTCTTTTTGCACTCATCTGTTAATTGTTTCAGGGCTGGGTTTTATCCCTTCATCAGGAAGTTGGTTTCGCCCTGTAGGAGGAACATTGGAAAACACTGAATCAACATTTTGTTGAGTTAATGCATGAGTGAAGGAAGGATGATATGAGTGGTACTCACTGTCACAGTTCTGTGGCAAAGGAATGCTGCTAATATTTGGAATGCAGTGAGCAAGACCTGGTCAAACATGCACTTGCTTCTGGTGGACAACTGCACAGTCAGAACCACCAAGGCCCTAATTAACCCCCAACTTCCTCACGTAGAAGAGTGGACGCTGCGCAGTGGAGGCATGGAAGAGACAAAGAGAGGCTCTTGGAAAGATTCATTCAGTCAGCAAGTATCTATTCATCTCATGCCAAGCCACAGGCACTTTGGCTCCAGTGGAGAACGGGACACACTTGGCCCCTGACTTCATGCAGAGAAGGTCTACTACAGCTGAGGGAAGAAAAGAGACAAAAGGAAAGATGCTGAAGGAAAAGGAAACAAAATAGTAAAATACAACGGGGTGATGAATGCCAATGATGGCTGACTTAATACAGTGCTCGTGCTAATATAAGTTATTTAGAAATGAGTTGTAATCCCAGCCATCTGCTTGCACATCACACACACACACACACACACACACACGTACATTGTGTAACCCTGATTTCACCCTCCCCCACATATATACACATCCCAGGAATAATCTGGTGACATATTTTTCATGATATCCCACATTGATAATAAAAAATAAACTTGACTCAAACCAGTGAATTGTGACCCAGATTTAGGTTTAAAAATAATGGAAGTCATAAGTTTTCTTTAGTGACAGTCTTGCTAATTAAGTTATTTGGCCTGTTTTTAGCCATATTAGATTATTTTTCCCTTTTTGAGGTTGTTATGAGCGTTGTTTGTAGCAGCATCAATAAGCCAAGAATTCACAGAGTTACTCAATCACACAGATTACTCATCATTGCCTGTTCATAACAGAATCCTAAAATGTTTAAGATTTCTGATGCAAATCAAAATCTCATCATCACTTGTCATTGCTAAATTAAATGACAGGATAATAACATTACATTAAAACCATTTTTCTCTTGATTGAGTACCTTTTTCAGAAGTGAACCTTCTAGATGTATATTTTTTTCATCAGAACCATAAATGCATTTAGAATCCAAGATAAAAATAGAATGGAAAAGGGGAGGAGTGGGATGTTTTCAAATTATTGATGAGTCCTTTGAATGTCAAATATCCATATTTGACAGTGCACTGCTAGGAAATGGGGTAGTTCAGCCCAGTTTATTGACTCCTCCAGAACTGCATGGAGAAGGTTCACAAGTTGAACTTGGCCTTTCCTGAAACAGCCACGTGTTCTTAGTATGAGTTATGTGTCATGGCAAATGGCTGTGGAATTGGCATTGTTCTGTTACTCTAAGATGTTGGCATCAGATGGATGACAGCCTATGTATCAAATTAATATGAATTTTTAATCTGCTACAGTGTTGTTCTCAATTTACCACCGCAGATTTATCTCCTGGCCTTTCTTATCTAAAGCTAGTTAATCTTTTTGGTCACACCTGCCCTCTCTCTGCCCTACTCCACCTGGCCTTTGCTTCCTCCACTTTTTTGTGGCAATAAAGCCGGTGTTTTGTGGCCAGAGCCAGTCTTCACTTGACCCAGGACTCCTCTTGCATTTTAAAGCCAGTCATTTCCTTCTAGCCTTCAAAGATCTTGGTTCCTGGAGCAGGCATTTGGCTTAGTGGTTAAGACACAGCTTGGGAAGCCAAATTGCCAGCTCTGCTTCCACGTCCAGCTTCCTGCTAATGCAGCTCTGACAAGCAGCAGGTGATGGCTCAGGTAATGGGTCCCTGCCACTCACGTGAGAGGCTCAGATTTCCTTCTAGACTCCTGGCTTCAGCCTGGCCCAATCCTGGCTGTTGGAGGCATTTGGGGAGTGAACCAGCAGATGAAAGATGGTCTCTCAATCTCTATCTCTCTCTGGCTGTCTCTCTCATCTCCGTCTCTCTGCCTTTCAAATAAAATGAAAAATTTTTTTCAATGATTCTGTTTTCTTACATCTTCCATCTTTAATGTCACGAGAGACCCAGATGACACTTTTTCCTTTACTTCATGCCTCATTTGACACTAGCATCATAGTAAGAATCTTTAGTTCTTGGAGAAGTTGATGAAGGTGTAGATGGAACAAGATTAGCTCTAGGCTCATGATTATTGAATCTGGTCAGTGGGTCCGTAGGGGTAGAGGAAATCAATGTGCCACCTTCATTATGTTTGTTTGTTTAGAAATTTATATCGGGCCATTGCTGTGGCACAGCAGGTTAATGCCCTGGCCTCAAGCGTTGGCATCCCATATGGGTGCTGGTTCAAGGCCTGGCTGCTCTTCTTCTGATCCAGCATTCTGCTATGGCCTGGGAAAGCAGTAGAGGATGGCCTAAGTGCTTGGGCCCCTGCACCCATGTGGGAGATCCAGAGGAAGCTCCTGGCTTCTGATCGGCGCAGCTCCTGCCATTGTGGCCAATTGGGGAGTGAACCAGTGGATGGAAGACCTCTCTCTCTCTCTCTGCCTCTCCTCTTTCTGTGTAACTGACTTTCAAATAAATAAATAAACCTTTAAAAAAGAAAAAAGAACATTTAAAAAATTATATTGTAAAAATTTAAAAATAAACTTAGCTCATTAGGATGTCTTTATAAAAATGTTTTTTTGAATGAGCACATGAAGTAGTGAGGTATGCAGGATAGAGGATTGAAACCTGATCCTGCCCTCTACACACCCACCCCTGAGTGAACTAGAGTCTGTAGTACTTGAAGTTACAACTTCCCTCTTCCATTTAGGTCCTGTGCATGATCACCAGAGTCCTGTTACCCTTCCTGTTCTTGTTAAAATGACTAGATAAACCTGTACAGACACACTGATTACATCCCACTTACTAAATCCCACTGTGCTGGGCATTGGGAAAGGGAGTATGAAACAGAAGTAGCCTGAGTAACTCGGATGTGGCACAGACACCAGGAACTCTCCCCTAAAGTAGAACTACAGCAATAACCTTGGTCTCCCACGTGCATGGCAAGGGCCCAACTACTTGAGCCATCACTGCTGCTCCCCAGGGGCTGCGCTGGCAGGATGCTGAAGTCAGGAGCCAGAGCTGGCTATCAAACCCAGGCTCTCAGATGTGGAATACTGGCATCTTAACCACAGGGCCAAACATCCACCCGCAGGGAGATGCATTCTTGATAATTATGCAGACTCCTGCCTGTCGCCTTCAAGGGAAAGGTCATCTTCCCTGCCTCTGCTTCCTATCCTAACTGTTAAGACTACAGCTCCATCAGACAACCCCGCCTCTCTTAAAGAACTTAAATTGAGGCCGACACCGTGGCTCACTTGGCTAATCCTCGGCCTGTGGTGCCAGCATCCTGGGTTCTAGTCCCAGTTGGGGTGCCGGGTACTAGTCCCGGTTGCTCCTCTTCCAGTCCAGCTCTCTGCTGTGGCCCGGGAGGGCAGTGGAGGATGGCCCAAGTGCTTGGGTCCCTGCACCCACATGGGAGACTGGGAGGAAGTACCCGGCTCCTGACTTTGGATTAACACAGCGCCAGACGTAGTGGCCATTAGGGGAGTGAACCAGTGGAAGGAAGACCTTTCTGTCTCTCACTCACTGTCTATAACTCTCTCTCTCTCTCCCTCTCTCAATGTCTAACTTTGCCTGGCAAAAAATAAAAAAAAAAATTTTTTTAAAAGAACTTAAATTGATTGCACTTACCAATGCTCTTTCCTTCTTCTCTTCTTAAATTATAACAGTCTTACTTCTCGTTTGCCAAAAATCGGAGAAACCATCCACGGACATAAGTTTTTTGTTGGCTTTGGAGGGAAAGGTGCCAACCAATGTGTCCAAGCTGCTAGACTTGGAGCAAAGACATCAATGGTATGCAAGGTAAGTGCAATATATGGAGAGGATGCCAGAGGCAAGAATCAGTTTTCAAGACTTGAGTTTAATGTTTTGACTTTGTTCGGTATTTTAAAGTGAACATTTCAGTGGCATTTAGTGCATTCGCACTGCCGCGCAGCCACGTTTCCATCCAGTCTCAGCACGCTGCCACCATCCAGAGTAAAACCCTCTGCTGTCTCTAGATTTATCTGTTGTGCATATTTCATGTAAATGAGGCAGGTGACATTTTCAGCCGAGCTTCTTTGACTTGGCATGCTGGTTCTGAGGTCCATCCACCTGGTGTCATGTGTTGGAACTCCCAATGGCTGCATTCCCTGTCTGGGTGTACCACAGTTTCTTTATCTGTGTGTGAATGGATTGATGTACACCCGGGCCGTGTCCGCCTTTTCAGTGTTGTGATCAGTGGCTGTGAACCCATGTCTGCATGTTCTTGTTTGAGTCCCTGTTTTCAACTATTTTGGAAACTCATTGTTTGGAAAGATCTAAATAGCAGAGGGTAATCGTCCTTGTCCTTGATATCAGTGTCTACCTCGTTGAATCTTGTGAGAAGTAGCAGTCCTCCATAACTTAATGCTGCATTCCCTGAACATAATGCGTTTGTAACTGGAGTGTGAGAAGTGAGGGAAACGCACTTCCTTCGACGGGTTTCTGTAGTCCAGCCTCTAAACAACCGCGTGAGTCACTGTGGCAGGTTTCACTGCAGCAACATAGCTTTTGCAAACTTAGTCTAGCAAGAGAGGTTTATGCATCTCTCAGCCATTTTCTTTTTCTAATGCTGTACCCTGATCAGAGAGGAATTCGGGACTCAGTAAACAACACATAACTAGTCTTACAGCATAGTTCCTATGTAACAGCCAGGATTGCTACTGCTGTCCATGATGGATAATCTACCCAATTGTCGCTTTATCTGCTCATGAACTGTGGCTTATTTCTAACTTGTGTTTAGCATGATATAATTCTCCTGTGGCTCTTTGGTCAAAAACATCACATGAAACTCAGCATTCATTGTCTAAGTTTGAGCTCTTGATTTAAAACATCAAAAAATTTAGCAATTTATTGTGTTCTAGGGCTGTGGGAGGGGGCTGATAAAAACTCCTCTGAGCCTAACCCATCTCATACTTGATTAGAGGTGAAGGGTTTGAGGAATAATGAGATGGTGCCGACTTAAGGGGACTTGGGAATCGGAAAGAGGATGATATAGTTTCCTGGCTAGGAAAACCTGGACATTGAATTGGTGTTAGAAGCTGGGTACTCCAGAGGCCGGTGCCGTGGCTCACTTGGTTAATCCTTTGCCTGTAGCACCAGCATCCCATATGGGTGCCAGGTTCTGGTCCCGGTTGCTCCTCTTCCATTCCAGCTCTCTGCTGTGGCCCGGGAAGGCAGTGGAGGATGGCCCAAGTGCTTGGGCTCCTGCACCCCCGTGGGAGACCAGGAAGGAACACCTGGCTCCTGGCTTCGGATCGGCACAGCACCTGCTGTGGCAGCCATGTGGGGGGTGAACCAATGGAAGGAAGAAGTCTGTCTCTGTCTCTCTCTCTCACTGTCTAACTCTATCTGAAAAAAAAAAAAAAAAAAAGCTGGGTACTCCAAATAGCTGTTCTGAGAAAAGCAGAGTTCTCTAGAGCTGGAGACATGGAAGGAGAAGAGTAGAGAACCTTCCTTGTCGAAGCTGTATGGAAGCTATTCATGGAGCCATTGCTGTCAAGATTGGCTGTCCCCTGGGATGTCATCCAAGTTCAAGATTTGGAGATGGGTTGTATTTTTGGTCTGTTGAATTTGAGGCAAAGAGAGGCACACAACATAGAAATATTTGGATTATGGAAATGAACTTGGGAAATGAACCATGAAACTATACAAGTGGAAGAGGAAAAGGCTGCAGAAGGCTGTATTTTGAGAAAGGTTCCATGTAGGGGGCTGATGAAGTAAGGTGGTATCTTTTTGTCCTGGGCTATGTATGATAGTTTATGTGAGCAGCTGTACAATTCTACACATCTACTGTGCCCCTGATTTATGCATCTAATGCTTAGTCCCTCCGCGGGACCTAGCATGGGGGTGCACAGGAGAGGATGAGAAAACATGACTTCAGCTAAAACCTGTCCAGGATAACTTTCCTTACATAACCTAGGCCCTTTAGACATGGATGTATTTAAAAACTGAAGCAAAGTGCATAATATTCTTAGACTTATTTTTTTAAGATTTATTTATTTATTTATTGGAAAGGCAGAGTTACAGAGAGACAGAGGCAGAGAGAGTTTTCCATCCACTGGTTCACTCCCCAAATGGCCACAACACCTAGAGCTGGGCTGATCCGGAGCCAGGAGCCAGGAGCCAGGAGCTTCTTCCAGGTTTCTCACACTGGTTCAGGGGCCAAAGCACTTGGGCCATCTTCCACTGCTTTCCCAGGCCATAGCAGAGAGCTGGATTGGAAGTGGAGCAGCCAGGACTCGAACCAGCCCCCATATGGGATGCTGGCACTGCAGGTAATGACTTTACCCACTACACCACAGCACTGGGTCCTTGGACTTATTAAAAAGAAAAGTAATACAGGTTTGTAAAGTTATCTATCCATTGATCATATTTTTCCATTGTGAAGTATATATTTATTGGCCAAACTTGCTCTATAGCAGTTTTTTAAAGATGACAATTTCTAAGTAGAAACCAAAATCATGAAATTACTCGAGATAAAACTGAACAGATGGAACAAATGAAAGACAGGTAGAAAATTTCCCATGGTTTTCTTAGCAACATTATAGTACCTACTGCTGCCCCATAGCAAACTAGAATTCAAGCTCTGATGAAGTAGGATTGTTTGATGGCACAGGGAAAACATCTCATGTTGAGCTAGGGAGAAACATTTGATAAGACAGTTTGACAAAGAATATTAGGCAAGAGTTACATCAGTATTTATACAGCAACACATGTATAATGAAACACTTCAAGTAGCTAAGAATTGTGTAGTCAGTATTCAACTGAATCATGGGCCAAGGATATGGTCCAGTAATAACTGGAGACAAAATTTTCAGATAAAAAATTCAGGCATATATTGTAGAAAATGAAAGTCTTAGTCCCACAGCAAGTGCCCTATTAGGACATCTTTCACAAGAATTCATCTGATTTAAGTGTTTCCTTTTCCTCCACTCCATTAGGTCAAATCTTAGACAGGAGGGAGTTATTTCTATACTTCAAAAACTGGCAGCTGGCAGGGAAGGGGCATTTAGCTGCTCCTTGGGACACCTGCACCCCACATCAGAGTATCTGCATTTGAGTCCTGGCTCTGCTTCTGATTCCAGCTTCCTACTGATGCACACCTAAGGAGGCAGCAGGTGATGGCTCAAGTTCTTGGATCCTTGCCACCGATGTGGGAATGAGTTCCAGGCTCCTTGTTTAGCCCTGGACATTTTGATCATTTGGGAAGTGAATCAACTGTTGGAAGATTTCTCTCTCTTTCTCATTCTGGATCTCTGCCTTTCAAATAAATAACAGTTTGTTTTTTTTTTAAACTGGCACTGAAGGGGACCAGGTTGAATACAGATATGAAGGTGCAGTGGCCCAGGATGAGCCCAGAGTCCCTGCTTTCTGTGCAAGTGAGCAGAAGCCACAAGCAGGCATGGACCAAGATGACCAGAACAGGAATCAGTAAAGTGAGAGGACTTTCAACAATTCCATGCTCTTGCTTCCTTCAAATATGAGGTTATCTGAACTCTCGTACCCACAGCCATCTGTTCTCCCTTCAGAAAGGTCAGGCATTGGGTTGTGTAACAGGCAGCATTTTAGGCCAGGGCTACACGAATCCCTAACCTCAGGCTGGTGCCAGGCTGCAAGTTGCCACTGTTCAGGACAATAAGAAAAGGAAAATAAGCCATTAGAATTATTTGTTTAGCAATTTACTAACAGTTGGATGTAATAGTGGCAATAAATTGAGTTTTTATTTTATATGACTTTTGGACTTATTTGTTATTGTATTTTACAAAATTATTAGCTCAGAATGAATTGAAAACAAGAAAAAAAGGGGGAGGTAGACCTTTGCCTCAGATAGCTTAAAAAGGAGGATTTGAGAGCACCCATCATCTTAACCAAAAAGGTAACTTCTGTGCTATATCACTGTGGGAGAATCAGCTGACCACGTGTTCAGATTTTCATTTTCAAAGATCAAAAATGAGTCACCAGGTATTTCTAGGTACTATATAATGAAGTGAAATCTGTCCTTCCTGAACCTGATTGAAGACAGCTGGCCTGGATCTCCTTGTCAGTAGTGATTGGCACCCCTGGCCGTATATCCTAACATAGGGGAAGGAGCCTGTGACTCTACCAAGTACTATACACTTTCCACAGCAAGAAATGGTAGAAAGGAAAGAAAATAAGTGGATGACCACCATCTTCTGTTAGCCAGGCCTGGTAAATGTCATCGCATTCACCTTGTAAAGTAAAGGCCATTGTTAAGGTAAATATCCCTTTATCTGGGATAGAAATAAGCAACAGTTTTCTGTATTGTATCTCTGTGATGAAGCCACAAATGACAAGTTGAACAGTGAATAAGAAGTTCTCTAGAAGAGTGGCTGCCAGCTTTGGTTGTATGACAACAAATACAACTTACTCTTCTCAACAAGCTGTTCATTAGAGCCCACAACAACTGGAGAGTCACAGAATGGCTTGAAATGCTCTTGCTCCTCATAAACCCAGCCCTCTTGGTTTTTTTGTTTGTTGTTTTGTTTTGTTTTGTTTTTTTTGACAGGCAGAGTTAGACAGTGAGAGAGAGAGAGACAGAGAGAAAGGTCTTCCTTTTTCCGTTGGTTCACCCCCGAAATGGCCGCTAGGGCCGGTGTACTGTGCCAATCCAAAGCCAGGAGCCAGGTGCTTCCTCCTGGTCTCCCACACGGGCGCAGGGCCCAAGGACTTGGGCCATCCTTCACTGCCTTCCTGGGCCACAGCAGAGAGCTGGCCTGGAAGAGGGGCAACCGGGACAGAATCCGGCGCCCCAACCGGGA